GCTGCTTGACATAGGTTGCTAAGCCTTTAAAAATTTTGCATGTGGAGAATATGAAACAAAATTTTTTTTAGGTTCAAAAATACATTTGAATCACTAAAAAATAATAAATTACTACATCAATACCATAGAATTCAACTATAATTTATCAAGCTTAATAACTAAGATGTATTTTTCTCTTAAAAAAATATGAAATTTCAAGCAGACGAAAGACACAACCTACCTCATTGAAATTTTGGTTCAAAAGAAAGAATTGGCACTAGCCACATTAGAAAAGATGAGAAAATCATTAGGGGCATTCTGAGCTTCTGAATGGTAAGTGTATATAAGTGAGCATTTCCAAAAATGGAAAGAGTTGGGTGGGGTGCCACTGTGTTTGATTTATTACATTAGCAATATCTTAGCAAATAGAAAAGATAAGACCTTCATATTTTATATTCTGCCTTGTAAATATCTGTAATTTGAGTTTATAATTTGTACGAAACTATAGTCTTAGTATTTTGACTTCATAATCATCTAATTTGAACCAGTGCTGCATTTAACATATCACGTGGCACACAAAAATCAACACTTATCTGTGTTTTTTATATTTCATTTTAAATTAAGAAATTAAGTAATGTATAGTTCTAAAACTTGAATTATAATCCACAGTTTGATACCAAAGTTATTGACATAAGTTCATGAATTAGTAGGTCAATAAAATTTTGAATGCAAGTCAACAAACGAGATGACATGGCCTTTCACTTATGACCCGTTTCGAAAGGGTGAATTAGTTTATTTCCTGAACAAAAATCAGAAAAAAAAAGTTCAAACTTTTATTTCTGTCATATATCTAGGTATGTATTACAATTCTACGTTATTTTTTTTTGCTGTCATCTAAGATTATATTCAGTTCTCCAAACTAATTTCAACATTTAAAGTTAATTTGCTGTTTACTTCATGTTTCTATGCCTTTTGTTTGTTCAACTGTGAACTTTTGTTGGAATTTATTTATTGTACCACTCATGAAGTTCTTGAGAACTTTTGTTAGAATTCATTTATTGTACTACTCATGAAGTTCTCGAGAACTTTGAGTGGAACTAACTTTGAAAATGACTGTATCCTTAAGCAAATAAGTGTCAAAAAGATAAAATTCTCATCTTTAATGCTCTGATTTTAGGAAGATAATAGACTAGTGTTACGTGAAAGTTAGTCATATGTTTAAAAAATTCGAGGTTCATAGTCAATAGTACTGAATTAAACTGAAGACAAAATTTTCAAATATTTCCTTATCATTTAGAAGCTAAATTTCTTAATTTTTGTTTTAATAATTTCTGATGATGTTCTTTAGGGAAAATGATGTACAATGTTCTCTCCAAGAACACTTCCAATCATTAAAAAGAAAAATAGATCTCCACAAGATGATGATGCCTTATCTCTCTCAACATGGGCCCGGTCAATTTGACCGACCATGTAACCTCTTTGTACTCATTTAGTCTTTATAGATTTAATACTTCTATCTTTCAATATAGTGTGTATTTCTTCACAAAAGTTGGCAGTTTTCAGTTAACATTAAAAGTCTTTCACATACAAAAAATCATATTTTTAGTGAAGTTTTTAATAAACTAAAAAACGATTTGTCCATGAATATATTAAGTATTTATTCTTAATAGTCCGTGTGCAAAGTTATTTTCATATTAAGATTAAAAATACTTTTCTTCATCTCAAATTTCCTTTGTGTAATCCCTAAAACCTCCTTAATACATTTCAAACGTTTTTTTTTTCAGTAAAACTTTATATTATACCTGTTATTTTCTATACGTGATCGGTCAATTTGACCAGCCTAATAAGGATCAAAAAAAAAAAATCGAAATACATCTAAATTACCTTTTTTCTGCCTAGAATGACTTCAAATTGTAACATGAAACTACATTCATTTATCCTAAGTACCTTTAAGTTGGTAACAGAATACATACATTCATAATTAAATTTTATTGTTTTATTGCCCTTCAAACCATGTCCGAGCCATTATAAGTTGTAAAACACTTGGAGAACATACAGCTCATGTTACACTATCGAATTACATTACGCATAAGCTACTATGAGTTGCTTGCATGTTTCTTGTGAAACATTTTTATTATATATTTTACCTAATCTAGTCTTAACTCACCTAAAAAGATTCCTATTTTAACATTCTAGTTACTTTTATAATAATAAATAAAGAATAAATGTGAAAAACAAGAAATAAAGTACTTACCCGAGTATTCTTATTTTTTGCTGTCAACTATCGATGACACTTAACCCTAGTTTTTTTATACTAATGGTAATAATGCACCAAATAATCTATACTGTTATTCTGCTTGTTTGTATGTACAACCATTATGCTTTCTGACTGAGAACCTGCTGCATAAGTATGCGTAGTTAGAATATTTTCCTAACAAAAACTATGCATGTGCATTATTCACTCGATGACAAAGCTCATTGATCAAGTTGCTACAATTGCTGTATGAAAAAAAGAA